GCGCATCTAGTCAGAACTCTTATTAAGCACAGGCAACAGCCCATGTGATAATTTTTCTTTTCGTTCATTGTACTGCTGTTTTTTCTCTAACAATAAAGATTGGTTTGATTTGGTTTGGTAGTGAAACAGTATTTTTTTCTATACAACTGAACATCGTAAAAATATCGTAATGTCTTTTTTTCAACTCTTAGATTACTAGATCTACATCTACCACTTGATTGTATAAATTGTGGTTGGCAGAATTTGAAACTAGGTTTTAACGATGAAAGATATCTTTTGCTCCTGTGACACTGCTAAGTTTCACTGAAAATATATTTTAAAAGTTAAATTTAATAATTAATTTAATTTCAATATTGGTTAAAATCAATTAAAGTATTTAAAACTATTCTTACCTCTGCCAATAAATCCCTAAAGATAGTCAGGAGGGAAAGAATGATCCAAGTAGATAGTTTGTAGATTGCTGGACACTTTCTTCTAGGCTTGCTGACTCCAAAATGGCTAACTTTTAACTTTAAATCACATCAATGTCCTCAATTTAGTCCTGGAAATTTACACACTTTTCCTTGTTCATAACTCCAGTCCAGTCTGCATATTTTATGTTATGAACATGATTCAAAAGGGGGAGGAGTGGGGCGAACAAAGTTCAACTCAATTCCTGATTGTGGCAGAATATTGATTTTCGATGAACTATGGATTTTCCTGAGTGCCTGCAGAACTCTAGTTGCAAAATCATGTTTAAAAACAATAATTGTGGTATCCCTCATGGAAGGAGCTCCTAAAATTCCATCAATATATTATTATGATCATGGCCAGTGATCATTTTAGGGAATTGTGGCAATTATTAATTTAAATGGTTACACTCTAACCTAACCAGAACGCTCCCCAACATGTGGTTGAAATGGAAGCAAGTAAAAGTATCAAGCAAGCAAGTAAGTAGAAAGCAACTATGTAGCCTACTTACAAAGAACAGGAGTGCCTACCTATAATGCTTCATACATACTATACGACCAACCTTGCAACGAAGGTTTAAATGTGGGCACATGAATCAATAAGATACATCGACTCATTCAATATAGCCTTCATTTAAATAGCCAGCTTGATTTGTTACCAATCGGAAGAAGGGAAAACAATCTTACTTAACATGGGTTTTAATGGACTAAAGACATTGAAAATGGATATGGAGTATACTTTACAGTCAGAATGTTGATTCTTTTGATTAGCAATGAGATATAAGATTTTCTCAAGGAATTTAATTAAAGAAAAAAATAAGAAACGAGTTATTAATTTTATATCAATTAGTGAGCGTACCTTTTTACACAGTAATCGTCTCCACGTAGGCCTATTATCTGTTCTTACTGAATATAGTATTTACGAATTTTTATTTGAAACTATTTGATATAAACACAACCGAGAGTTAAAGTGATTTCCAAAGTAACTTTAACTAAATGTACCATGGTTGAGATAGAAATATATTATTATCACACTGCTTCTCGCGGTGACAGCTAAAAGTGGGCTACAATTCGTCGGGTTACCACATGATCAAATGTTTAAAAGTATTTAAGCAAGGCAGAGGGCACAGGTGATGCGCTCTAAGTACTAGACCACTAGTGCTGAAGTAGGAAACATAATAAAAAATGTTAGCTATTTTGAAAACAAAATTAATTGATTGACCACATCTCGTTCACAACTCACAACTCTTGACTCTATACATAACTCTAACAGATGTATTCTTGCCAAAACTGTTAGGTAATGTACAAAGTTCACGAAAAAAATGCAATTATGGTCACTTAATTTCTATTCTATTCTTGTTTACAAAATCGAACACAACGTAAAAAACTGTAACAATGACAGCTACGTCAATGAAATTAATATTCAACGGTTATTTAGAAATTGGTACAAGTTTCCTCTCTTTAATTACCCCATTGCAACAACTCTGCGTCTTTTCAAATGAACCAATTACAATTAAACAAACAGCATTGTTCCAGAAGCGACGACTGGGGTTACGCCATTGACCTTGGCGGTTGTTCAAGGTCAATGTCAATCCTGCATTACTACTGTCCGACGGCACCCATCTACCGTTACTTTATAATAATGGAACTACTTGAGGCTCCTTCATTTCCTTATGATAAAACCTTTGAAGCTAAATAGCCATTAAAATTCGAAATGTCATTCAACAAAAGTGACATAGATATCATGATAAAGCATTACTGCCATTATACCAGACGACAGTTACTATTCTGGATGCAATTTAACATTAATTTTAACAAAGTTGTTATTCCAGAAATAATAGAAGGGTAAAATAATTACACATTGTTGGCAAATACGTCCAATACACCGTCAAATATTTGAAATAAGTTGTGTCATTTATAAGATGATAAATAATACACGATAATGATGTTGAATTGTAATCGATTTTGAGTAAATACTCTAATTTTAATCTGGGCTAATAACAACGTTCAAACAAATTGCAGCAAAAGGCTATTCACTTCCCATAGTAATATTTATAAGAGTTAGTTATTCGTTTGTCGTCATTTTTTACATTTTAAACTTTTAGAATATTCTAAAACTCCTACTATGAAGGTAGCTATGATCTCTTTGTATACATCTTTTATATAGTGTGTGTATGGACTAACTAGGACACTCAAGGTGTAAAAATTCGAAACCGGTACATTAATTATTTATTTACCTGCAACACGAAATTTCCACGTGTTAAATGGTAATTGATTTACATTGAAATCCCAATCTTTTGAGCCTAATATGCCGATGAAGATGAAAGTTACAAACAATCGTTCCTTGTAGTTTAATGGTGATAAAAAATATCCAACACATTAAATTGACATTTCATTTTAGAAACAAAATGTATTCTACTTCGGTACTTATAAATCCCACTAGATAAAAGTAATTAATTAGTTCTTGATGCCTAAACGGTATATTATGTTACGTTTCGTTTAGACAACACATCATTTATGTACTTGATAAGTTAGCGGGGACATCCAAGGTTAAGTTGAACCTGGTACATCAAGTCACCTTTGCCGGGTCTCGATCGTATAACCTGTCCATCCAAGGCCTTTCAGGGAAGATTCTCTTCCTCCTTAAGCAGGATGAGTAACGTCCTGACACTCAAGGAACCGTGTATCTGCACTTAAGGAGAAGGAAATTGGCAAAACTAGTAATGAAGTAGACATGGATTACAATCTGCAAGTCTTCAAGTGCAAAATAACATATTTCCTCAACCATGTATTTACGATAAATTATATGGAAATCCTACAGGTTGCATCATACAACTTGATATACTCTTTCCTCTTATGGTTATTATTAATTGCTCGTGAATATTGTGCTACTACTTTAGTCTAATTATATATTTTTTACTTCAACCGTCCGTCACTATAAACCTACTGTTCTATGTGAATCAAAGACAGTGAAGAACAGTACAGTAGTGTATTAGTCTAAAGGCAAGCCAGACCACGTGATAACAGTAAAGGTGACCTGTCTTGAATCAGCAATCATTGTTATCAGCTTAAGATGCAACTACTGAGCTGTATTCCGTCGCACTAAGCTCTTGGATACCAAACTTATTGAATCTGTTTAAAACTCACGCCTTTATAATTGCAAACAAATCTTATCAAGAATAGCAAACAATGTTAACTACCACATTACCATTGACTTCGCATACAGCAGATTTCTCATCCTATTATGGACTCATCCTTACATGGAGCTTGTTTTGTTGTATGCTTCCCTAACCACCAAAGCTTGAATTAGTTTAACAAGATGATTCTATTTCTGATGTTAAAATGACTTTTTCGGTATGCATTTCACTTAGGTTGTGATATCAGAGTACAGGCCTTAGCTTACACGCAACTCGTTGTTTAGCCGTCATTTTTACAAAGTTGGTACAACTATCCATAATAATATATTATGAATAAAATAACGCACTCAAAGTGTCACTGGACCTGAATTGTCTTGAATAATTCTGAAGTTGCCTGATTCGAAGTCATAACATTTACATTAGTGGTTTCCAAGGCCATTGAACCGTCTATGGGGGAATATCTAAATATTTTACTGAACAAGAACAAGAGAGTTTATTTTGAATCGGTAAAAGAAACATTTTGAAGAGTTTTACTAGGTCTAAAAACATTAAGTTAAAATAATTATGATATTGGAAATTATTAATTTTTTAGATATTTTTAACAAACACTACACATTGCTCATAATCAACTACGTTTCGAGGTCGTGTACTTATATTGGGGAAACTCAAACCTGAATCAATCATATTAAAAGTAATTGATTTCCTTGAAGTTAGAGAAAACAGAAAATAGGTCAACGACAACATCATTATCGATTACTCACTGAACTTGTCTCTAAGTAAGACACTGACTAATTAATTTACTTCCTATAAACAGATTACGAACATAGCAGTTGTATTGACATTGCGTCTAAGAAAATATTACATTTAATTCCATTACATAAATAGTAAAGCATTTAAATGTTTTACATACTGTTATTATTCTTCCATAAAGGCATATAATTAAGTTAAAATTCAATACAGTGTACTTATGACTAAAACCATATTTATGTTGTTGTTTCATACCTTTTTGGTGTAAGAGAAAACATTTGCTTACTTGAAAATACGATTAAGTTTGAAAAAAATATTTTAATAAGAAAGTAGTCTAGTATTTAATTATTAAAGTGTGTTTTAAGTTTATAGCTTTATTAGACTTATATGTTCTTTGCAAAAGTTTCATGTGCCTAAACAGTGTTCATAATTAAGTATTACTTACTCAATGCTATCATCACACAGCAGTGAACAGCTGAACGGGAACTGTAGGAGTGAATGTTGGGAATAATTTCGAAACTTGTCCATTTCTGCAGACATTGGTACTACTGAACCTATGGGAGGTTGGAAGGCTGCGACGAATTGGAAAATACCTCAACTGTGAAACACAAAACGGCTCGTGCATTGAAATTGAACTGAGTTAGAAATGCGTGAATGAATGAAACGCTTATAAACAATAAAATAAAGTTTTAATTCTAAATATGTACAAAACAGTCTTGTAGTCTTCACCAGGATTGATTTAATTCACGTTTTCTCTTCAGTTTTCGTCACGTTTGTGCTCATTTCACTTACAGTTTTCTTGTCCTTCTCTATACCCATGAACTCGCAGACCTTTGCCTCAAACTTGCGGTTGGGATCATACCTCTCCTGTAGGACCTTCCAATCACTACTTCGCTCAAAGTACATAAACAGGAAGATCTTCTTGATGATTTTCTTCTGATTGGGAGTGCAATCGCCACAAGCCGTAGCGGTCAGTTTGGGAATCAATTCTGAAACAGTAAGCAGGATTGTAAGAAAACCAACCCACAAGGCTAATATTAAATGTTAGATGGAGAATGGTGATAACACAATATTTCTTTATTTATACAAAATTTGAATATGGATACAACTCTTCCATTTGTATGTTAAGCTTAAGATCCAAAATAAACATAGATTTTAGCCTCCGACACACTCCTGCTGAACTACTGGCTTCTATCTTATACAGGTAACAAAACTATAAAATTTATTTTACGCAATTTAACATAGTTTTGAAAACCGGGAGGGAATCTTTAATTTTGTCAGTAAGAAACCAATTAAAAAACGTCGTATTTTAAAATTCTTAAAGCTTCACACTTGATTTCCTACAAATATTGTAAAAAATGTTCGATTTTGAAGAAAAAAAAATTTAAGACTTTTTCAAACAGAAGTTTCGATTGATAATAGTTTTATTCGAAGTATATTCCTCACATAATAATGTAAAACGTTCACATTACTGTTCATTAACAATTTTAGGGTTAGGGGGTATCGCAATCCAAATCATCTTAAGGAAAGGATTTAATTTCATGACCTTTCCTAAGGTTTTTAATGCATTGTACAAAACCACGAGTCTATGAACCATCTTCAGCGTTTTATATAAACTTCTCAACCGGTTTTCTACATGGGTTTTCCACAAGAGAACCTGCTCAGAGGCAAATTACTAGTTTACAGATTAGAAGCGTCATCACACAGATTATATACAAGGCAGCTACGGTAGTAAAGTAGTCCACATTAATAGGGTTGTAAATGGTACGATTAAATCCATGAATTTGATTTATATAACAAATACTGTACATATCATAGGCTAGTAGTTTTTCCTATGATTTTTGTTTATGTTTCGGAATCAGAGGTTCTTTTTAGCGAATTTCCCATATAGGGAATAAGCTATTACTGTAGTACTCATGGTAAGACCTGGACCCGGGACCGATTTTTTTTTTTCGTTTTGAGGTCCCTAGAGGCCAAAAATACCATCCGTTCAAATTCATATATATATATATTTATATATATATTTATATATATATTTATATATATATTTATATATATATGTGTCCGTTAGCGCGATAACTCGAGCAAAAATCATCCGATTTTGATGAAATTTGGTACAAACGTGTAAACCTACGTTTATTCGATCGAGTTCGCGAACCAGCATGATCGGACCATGGGAACGGGGGTTTATGGGGCCTTTTATGGGGTAAAAATGGGTTTTTCCCATTTTTGACCCAAAAAACATAACATTTTGCAATTTCTTTCCAAACAATTTTGTAGAACTTATAAAAACAAATAATTTAGTATATTGAAGCGTTATAATGCGCCTAATGGTTACGGAGAAAATTCCAAAAAAATTTAAATTTAAAATTCTCATGTTATTCTTATGGAGAATAAGTAAACTGTTGTAGTTTGCTTGTTTATTAACATATTTTGCCCAAATTTGGAAAATGTTTTTATTTCTTACAAACTATTAACATTTTACAAAAAAAAAAAACACTTTTACCCTCCCTGTTGCAGCAAACCTAAGTATGTGTTAAGCTGATTCTATTTAAATAGGGAATAAATGTGATATTTTTAAGGAGATATTTTAGTGTAAATCCAATCAGGCAAATGGAAATTCGCTTAGTCTGCAGGTTTGCTGCGGCGGGGGTATTTTATAATTAGAACAAACTATTTGAAAAGTTATATAAAAACGTTAAATAAACAAATATGAAAGCTGTAGTTTCGTTTTGCTGTAATGTATTGACCTTCCAAACCTTCGTCCCAGAATTTTAAAAAGCCCAGGGAGGAAGTGAAAACCAAGGTTGCTTTTAGCAATGGGAGAAGCCTATAGTAGTCCTGAGTACGTAAAATATTTTTTGAAAAAATATTAACTCTAATTTGAACCAGTGTTGGATCAGCCAATTTGGAAAAATTTGTCCCCCTACTGTGTAGTGAAAAATTACAAAGACAGACACCTCCCTCCTTTTTTATTAATATATATTGCAAATTGGTGTGTAAAAACCCTAATATTACGGATTTCATTATTTAAAAACAACAGTGTGGACACAAAAAACAATTCTTATTGCAGTATGTGTATTAATATTTTAATGGTTTGCAATTAAACAATACTAAATTGCCTTTTTTGTCATGTACTAGTAATTTAATCATCAGTATTTGAAGAGTGAATTAACAAATTCAGATAAGTTCCCTTGCCTGAATTATATATGGATATTGTTTTTAGATATGTGACAGCTTTAGGGGAGCGGTAACCTAGAGGATGGTTTTTAATTAAATTAAAAGCAAACTTTATGAAAAGATCCCTTAATTGGTAATTAGATGGAATTTAATTCTGAACTCCAGTGCAGACTGCAAGACTAAACTTGTCCACTCTAAATAATTACTGTATACTTAATTACATTCAACAATATTTTTTTATGACAAGGATGTTGTGGATTTAAACTTAAAAATTTTCTTAGAAAGTAACAATCAGCAACTTGTACAACAACTGAAGCTAAAGTAGCACAAACGTCAGCACTTCTGAGACGGAGTGTAACAGAACTAATGAGCCATATTTGTTTGAGTTATTCTTGGGTTGAAACTCCAACCATTGTAATGATAATTTATTTGTTCGGTGTCTTTTAGAGCCATACTTAAGAATCTTGAACATCTTGGAAACATGGTACACCCTAAAAAATAGAAATAATACGTAGAGTTTTAACTTATTAAACACGTGTTTTCATGTTTAAGAGAAAGACCATAACATGTTTACCAATCGTACTTAGATTTGACATTTGAACAAGTAAAATATAATTTTACCTTTCGTGGCAAAAATACCAATAAAGAGAACAGTTTATATCGATGCAATTAGTTGTACGGTTGCTGAATATTGCGAAATTGGCAATCGATTAATACGGGTACAAGGTTAACACAGGATGTGTAACAGCGGATATGTAGGTAATCAGTATTGAGCAATGTTGCCTTCCTTTAGAAATGTATCCATACAACTTTCTTTTGGTTTCTATTTCTGTTTAAAGTTCTTCGGAAATTAAATAGACCAACATAAGCAAAATTAGATTTCGACAGAACTATTCACGTTCACAATCCAATTTGCGGGATCTTCGCTAAATAGGTTCAGTTCTGGACCCAGATGGATTTTGTAATCGTGGTATTAATTAATGACATTGTTTAACAAAGGCTTGTTTTATTGAAACAAGACCTGTGTTTGGACGTTCCTAAAGAAAAACTTACACAATTATTTATTATAAAGGCTAAAAAAGGCATTGAACATTAGATGATACCTAAATTCATATCTACATCAAAATCTGATAATATTAAAGCCGTAATTTGTTATTACAGTAGTTATATTAAAACACGAAAAATAGGAGTATGTAAGGTGTTATGGCCCTTCGGAAAAAGTAAGGTTCACACCCTGCAAAAAGTATGGTTTGGTTTTTTAGATGTAAGTGTGTATGATATTTGATTTCAAAAAGAACAAAAATGCTCTAGCAAGGCATGATATGAGAAAATTTTAAATTAAATTCCTAAATGGAATTACCAAAAGTAATCACCATTCCGCCTGTTATCATCCAGATGTATTTATTGCAAAATGCACAAGGGATCAATGCAGGTAGAGGATTGGCTAACATGTACAACAATGTGGGTAACTAGTGTGTAATTGTTGATGGGGGTAAATAACATGTGATGTTGCGAGTACAGATACAACTTAGCATTGCATAACTGGATGATGATATAGAATATGTCTGTCTCGTCGAGTAACAGAATACTCAGACGGTGAACTGAAGCAAAAAAACAATGCATTATGAATACAATAACGAGACAAAAAACATTCTTCCTGTCAGCGTGTAAACCGGTTTTTGTTATGACCTTGTGATGTATTATATTACATTCTTTCTTGGCGATGTTACTGTTTAAGTCAATTAGGAAATGCCAAATCATGCCTATAACAGTATAAACTCAAAGATGAGTTGCAGCGCTGTGAAATAAACTAGCGAATCGTTTCGTTACCTTTTCAGCAAGTTGTCATTTTAAAACAAACCTCTTTCATTTGTTTTTAAAACGGAGTTCATCATCATTTTAATTACAGGCAAAAAATGAATCAGTTAATCAGAGAAGGAATATAAACGAGAAAAATTAGCTACATAAAGGTTTAGAGAACATTGTCGTCTTATCTGCATTATTTTGTTGGTGTATTACCATGTTATTGTCATTAGGCCTAATTAATTTGTTTCTCAAATGGTCAATATCTACATGTCATGACATTGTTTAAGCCATTTTGAAATTATTGTCTATGTAACGAGAGTTTGCCCAATTTAATTAAAAGTGTAGTCAGACCTCTGAGAGCTTAAAACGTATTGTTTAAAAAAACTTTTAAAACTAGGACACCAAGTGGAACTCGAAAGAACCGATTTGAGAAGTATAAGATTTTGTGAATAAAACTGTAAACAAATTACACGTATATTTAATTGATAATTTTGATGAAGAATATAATTTTTGTATTGTTCCTTTAACTAAATATTTCTTAAATGACTACCAACAGATGTTAGATTTGTCATTCATCCAGCTGATTCATACCAATATTGGTAATTGGTATCATTAACATATTTTTACAAAATAGTCATGCTTCTTAAGGTTTAAAACTCCTTAGGCCCGTATTACACTATCATAGTTCTATGACATATATCTATTATCATATGTCTTTGATGAAAATTATTACAGTGTAATGTACCAACTATTATAATGGTTTTGAACTATGATAATATAATATGTCATAGAACTATGATAGTGTAATACCGGCCTTAAACACCAAAAGGTCAACCGACGCAAATTAAACACATTCTAATCTTGGATTAATCTTGGATCATCGTGGTTAATCTTGAATAATTGAAGACATGTTACTGGTTTTTAATTTACTGAATCATAACTAAATAACAAATGAAAACTTAATTAGTTTTACCAACACAAGAAATATTGTATGCAATAACAACTGCCTGGGTAGGCGAGGGTTATAGTTCACAACTTCATGTTTGAAGGTGGCTAGTTCAATCCCAAACGGGATGAATTCTAGACCTAGATAGTATTTATCAACTATCAATTTTGTATTATTCTATAACACAAGGCCAACGATAGATGTTGAGAAAACCAGGGTTAGGATAGGATGTTTTAATAGCCAGCACCGTTTAAAAGTCCAGTTATCAAGAACTGCTTTCAGGATTTTTGCCCAGCAACTTTTTGGCTGTTAGTTAAGCACTAAAACTACTACTCTACCTAGGTATACAACGAAATATAGTTTTTACTCCAAATAGTTGACGTGTGAAGAACGTCTAGTTCAAGGTAGGTGAAGACAACCGCGCCACAAGCACTCCAAGGTCACTCACTGGTTCCAGTGTTTAGCTCCTGGAAATGGTTATTGCGGTTCTAAATAATTAGTTGCGAGCTTCTGTCTGAAGATTGCGGTCAAATGGACTCCAAACTCAGCGTGGTTGTACTTGACACGTTTGGTCTACTCGTCTTGTTTTTGGTTTAAAATTAAAACTTAGTTCACCTGCAAATTTTAAGTACTGTAAAATTTAGGCTAAGGTAAGAGAGAAATATTTAGACGACATGATCACATTTAAATGGTTCTAAAAAAGAAATATACAGAAAAATTAGCTTCACTTTTACATTTAGATGATATAAGTCTATTTGAAGTACGTATAGGTCAATAATACTCAACAGTCTTAAAAAATATTATCTTAACTTGTGACAGCGGCGAAAATATACAAATAAGATGAATTGTATAAATACACATAAAACATGTTCCAGATTGTGTAATGGGTTGAGAAGTCCATTTATATTATTTAGAGTAAATATCTTTAATGTTAAACTATTTGTATCGAATAAATAAATCAGTGTCTGGAATTAACACTTAACATTCCAAGGCTAACCGGGAGGAGTCAAAGGATTATTTAAATCACAAGTATAATGGCAAGGAAGTAGATTCAACAAAAATGTTAGATTTTTCGTCAAGTAGCATAGACGAACGCGATAAACTGTTTCCTTCAAGGTTAAGGACTAATAGAAATACTTTAAGTATAAAGTACGAAAGATTTGATCTGTTATTATAGAGGTTATTATTATTCTTAACAGATATCGGTAAATAGTGCATTTAGTAAAATTTCAACTATACAGACACTATAAAATCATACTTTATGAGGAAGTCTTGTAATTGATTGTTAATTACTTTGAAAGTAAGCTTGCTAAGTGAATGATTTAAATCCACATGAGTATTAGACCAATGTTCGTATAAACATTAGGAATTTCAAGAATCATTTGTATCGAAGCAGATTTTCCAGGAATTACATTATATAACAACAAAACAAGGGATAAAGGCCTAATGAGACTATTATATGTATGAGATGATTGCGTTAAAACATCATCGTTTTGTTTTTTGTTTTCCTATATACACATAAGTATACCATCGTGAAGCGAGAATATAAGATTGGATTAGCTTTAGACACATTTGTATCAATAGTTTGAAACTCTAGCAATTTTTAATTATTTCTAAACAAATTAAATAAATTAAAATTCACGAAATCGGATTACAAAAATATACTCAATGGAATTGGCGCAACGAGGCATGGTGCATGATTTCTTCATTTGTATGCAGCTGAGCATTATTTTAGACTTTAATTAAATAGCTTTATAAATAAATTCGTTAAATTTGCAACATCGTGGACAAATTTCTGAGGGAAACATAAATATGATACGATATATACATACATATATACATATGTATGATATTACATATTTTTTGAATTATTTATATAGTCCTTAAGCCTAAAGCTACCACTCACCAGAATATCATACATTCTGGCTTAAATAATCTTGAAAATAAACATATGTTATGTTAGGTTGGGTTAGGTTAGGTTAATTCATGTTTATATGCTGAATACATGATCACATCGTTGTCTCTTTTCTTAGCCAGTTCCCAAAAGATATTAATACTAAATTAACTTTAGATTTAATGAAGGAAGCTTTTCGATATGAGATCCGAAACGCGCACAGAATACTGCAGTACAAATCTAACCACTATTATATTTTTGTCTTGAATCAGTTAATTGCTTGACTGAACAACAGCCCAATATTTTAACAGAATGAGACAAATACGAATATCTTTGTTTATTTTAATAACTTTATTTATAAACTAACTATTAAAAATAATAAGTTAACATATTTAAAAGTAATAACAAACTCTAATGCCAATGTACTATGCTAAGGTGCAAGAAGAAGGTCGACTCACTTTAAACAAAGAAAGATTTATTACACATTCATCATTAAAATAAACATCTGGTCTTGGTCGGTAAAAAAAGGCATTGCACTCTACTCTACTCTAATTGACCACTTAAATTTAGCTTAAGAATCGCAACACTGTGCCACAGTCGTTTTGAAGTAATAGTTGTTACAAAGGTAAAAATAATCATAATCTAAGATTTACTCAAGGTTAAAAATGAGAAACTGATGAACGAGTGCCTTTCCCCAAAATGTTAAGATATATAAAATTTAGAAACAGTATTAAAATCACACAACTATTTTTGGGCGATGAATGCCAACATGGTTTTAACACTCCAAGTATTTGTTTACACAATTTTACATTCAAAACAATGGTATACTTAAAAAGAAGTTTATAAAAAAGTTGAGTAATTAAAATATGGCAGGCAATTAAACTAGCAAATAATCAATCCCTCAGTTTTGATTATCAAACGTATTTGAATTATTTTACTGTTTGTATTATCAGACTTATAAGTATTAAATGTTCTTTATTATTGATGAATAATAAATAAGCTTTATGAGTAAGGTAAGTGTAAACATTTGAACACGTTTAAAGATTAAAACTAAATCATCAAAATATGTTAGATGATTTAATTGCGCTCAGTCATCAAAATATGAGCTATAATAATCCAACTAATGATATACATGGAAAAAACAATTACGACCGTTATACACATTCAACAGTTAAAAATAGTTAAACAATTTAAATCAAAGTAAGTTAATAAAAATAAATAAGAGCAACTAGTTAAAATAGTTAAGAATTAAAACACCCTAATTGATTTACCCTGAAATGCCTCTAAAATAAAGTCAAATGATAAAAATGTTGCATTTTGTAGCCCCTGAGCTGTGAGTGTAGATCATATATCGAAGATGTTGTATATAAAAGACAGTATACAGTATAGTTCTAAAAAAGCATTTCTTGTAAGACGATTAAAATACTCACTTCTAAAATCCCTTGCCTCTGGTGAGCACGCACCCTTCCCCACAAAGCACTTGACGTAGTTGGTCATGATCCTGTTATTGTTGAGCATATTGTCGACGTCAATCTTCTCCAGGCGATAGAGCGCTCTCTTGGCAGGATCTCTAGTCTTCTGGGGCGCAGCACACCCCGACAACAGTATGAGGATCAGGGGTAGCAACATGCCGAGGTTCCCGCGTCACAAGTCTCAGTGATCATTCACTAAACTTGTCTACACTGGCAGTTGAACAGTTGAACCGCTGAACCTCGCTGGTTGAAGGACCGCTTGCGACTGACTGAACCTTGGGGGACGACACACTTACCAGCTTACCACTCGAGGCATCCTTCCTGAGTTGCATCGTTTAATTAGAAGCGACCTTGACGATATCTTTGATCCTGATTTGTGCACCACGTTCACGTTAAGACTCGTGAAAATGCAAATTGGAAATTGGTTGTTGTAGAATTTGATCGGCTGTTTTTAGAGCATTTTCTGGATCTTTCCGTCAGTTCACTACCACAAGTATTTAGAGCAATAGATTATTAGCAATAGAAGTGGTAGTGAATTAAACTTTGGTTAGGTTAGTGTAGAGTTCAGTATAGAGTTAGAAAAACCTAACCCAACCTAACCACATTCCACCAGTGGTAGTGAATTAACGGGAAAGATTCAGTTTTCTGTATAGGGAATAAGCTATTACCGTCTCATGGACCCGGGACCGATTTACTGTTTTTGATGCCCTTACTCCCCAGAGGGCATCTGTTCAAATTCATTGATATATGTGTGTGTGTCCGTTAGCACGATAACTCAAGTAAAAATCATCCGGTTTCGATTGAATTTGGTATACATGTGTACAAGTTTATTTGAATAAGCTATTTGAAGTGCATAATTGTTTTTCGATATTTTTGTTCGGTTTTTTCTGGATTTGTATGAATAGAGCAATGACACAGTAAAAGTATTTTAACGAGCCTGGGTTTTTTTTTTTATTCTCTATGTAGTTTTCTATAAGAGTGTGATATTGGAGACGCATATTCACAAAGCAAAACAAGATAAGTGAACAAACAATCTCAAATAACAGACTACTTATACCGTCTTATGAAAACCCAAATCTTTGTGTTTCCATCGTTATTATACTAATATTTTGAATTTTGATCCTAAAATACCTATGGTGATGTAGCAGTTCAACTCCACTACCTAAGTTGTTTCCAGTTCCACAGTGTTAAAAGAATTCAGTTTGGTTAAGCCAACGACGGATTGTGATGTTGTCAATAAGCATTTATGACTGTGAACATTAAGTTACATTTTTAACACTACCAAAAGGTAAAAGTGACCTTTTGGAAGGCTCACATGATCCTAATAATGTGGTATAAACAACTAAACAAGAACGAATGGAAGAGTGGGGATGACCAGTGCATGACACGCTAGCAAATCGGCTCCGTTAATTAACTCATTTTTACTGGTAAATTTTAATCGGTAAACTACAATATTTATCTGCTGAGTGTAATTAAGAACTGTGTTTACCGTTATCGTAAGTGTTGGGCATAAAGTGCAGTGAGTTCTTCGTAATATTGAAGAATTTTTGGCCGGGGTCGATCAGTGTGTGGTCGTTATCAGTGAACGCCATTATGACTGAGGGAGTCAAGATAACGACGCGTGGCACTGCCAAACTTAATAAAGGTGAGCTTGAATCAACGTCGCCATCACTTCAATCTATAGACACTAAACTTAATAGTATTTTACAAATTCTTGAGAAGAATTCTAATGACATCGTCGAAATTAAAAAAGAACAAAAAGACATGTGTGAATCTATTGAGTTATGCCATGCAACCATCAATGACTTTAAACAATTAATATCTACTCAAGATTTGAAGATAAGAGAGTGTGAAAACGAGGTACAGAAGACTAAGAAGGACACTTATAAATTCGGGAAATCGGTTGAGAAAGTGCAACGTGAAGTTCGTGATCTTGAACAGTATTCACATAGAAACAATTTAATTATTTACGGTATCCCGGAGGACAACAATGAAAAAATTATGTTCGTTATAAGACGGTTAGCAACTGCTCTACACTTCCAAGATTGGTCGGAGAAATTAGTTGATGCTGTACATAGAATGGGGAAGTATGATCCTACGAATACATCGCCGAGGCCTATCATCATTCGCTTCGTCAGACGTCTGGACAAGGACGCTTTTTTAAATAAACGTAAAGAACGCCGCAATCTTAAAGCTTCGGACCTTGGCTTCAGCAGCGAAGACTCGATCTACGTCAACGAGTCATTGACGCCAGAGAACAGGGACCTGCTGAAGAAGACGCGTGATGCGGCGAAGGCCAAGGGCTACAGCCAGGTGTGGACGGCGAACTGCAGCATCTTCGTGCGACGAAATAAGGACACTGATGCTATCAAGATTAGGTCAGACGTGGATATTGACAGCATGTAAAACAATGACTGTAATTGTAAGTAATCAAATGCTTAATTTATATTTTAATAATCTATTTCATAATTTATTTACATCAAATTTATATACAATGCACGTTAAACTTCTTTATGAGCATTTAATTAAATTATTTTTGCATGAATACAATTCTGTTTGTCTATTTATACATGCTATTCTTCGACTTCTTAAATGTTATGTTTTATTTATTATTTATATTTCTATTTATTGCTGTATTTATAGTCCATAAAAAAAAAAAAAAAATAGGAATTTTCTCTATGTTATTTATGTTTTTATTAAAACTTATTAATGGTAAATAATGATTTTGATAATATAGTTTACTACCAAAATGTCAGAGGTCTGAGAACAAAATCAAACATTTTTTTTAGTAACATCTTAACAAGCGATTACAAAATTGTGTCTCTAACAGAAACAAACCTACAACCTGGTATTAATTCATCGGAATTTTTTCCTGATAGTTTTAATGTATTTAGATGTGACAGAAATTTAGAAACTTCAGGCCGACAGGGAGGAGGGGGAGTATTGTTAGCCTTAAAAAATGATATATTGTGTAACGTAGTCGACATTTTTAATGATTCAATTCCTGGTTGTGAAAGTGTTTGTGTAAAAGTTGTAAATAGCAAGGGGAGAGGATTGTATATTTGTACTGTTTATTTCAGGCCAAGGTCACCGTTAGTAGCATACCAAAGATTTTTTGATTGTTTTTTACAGTTAAATTCATTATCGAACTGTGATATTATTGTATTAGGTGATTTTAATATTTCAATCTATGGTCAGGACTTTTGCTTGGATCAAGGTGACAATATATGTAAAGAATTATTTATTTTTTTGAATTTGCATGGTTTAAGTTTAAAGAATGATATTCGTAACTTTCAAAATAAGACATTGGATTTAGTCATATCAAATTGTGAGGAAGTAGTGGTGACGAGAAGCGGTGAACAATTAGTTAGTGAAGATCTTTATCATCCGGCTTTGGAGGTAATTGTTGTGTTGGCTACTCCGTTATCTGGTCGTTCAAGGTCAACCCAGTCAGCTGGTTATTGTTTCAGACGAGCCAATTTTCTACAAATATACGAAGATTTACAACAGGCTGACTGGTCAAATTTATATTCTATTTTGAACGTCGATGATGCTCTAGATTGTTTTTATAGCACACTTTATGAAATAATTGATAAAAACTGTCCATTAAAGAAAAATAAAAAAGCAAAATATCCCTTTTGGTTTACTCCTTCTATTATTTACAATTTAAAACGTAAAGAAAAACTTAGAAGAAGGTGGAAAAAAGTAAACACTGATGAAGCTTATAACTTATTTAAAGTCCAGAGAACAGCAGTAAAAAATGAAATTGATCTAGCATATCGCAATTATGTAAATGGAGTGGAAGATAGTATAAATGTTGATAGCAGTAAGTTTTGGAATTTTATTCAAAGTAAAAAATCTGAACGAAATAAAATTATGATAATGGAGCACAATGGAGTAAGACTGGATAACGGAGGAGCGGTTGTAAATGCATTCGCGGAATATTTTAGTTCTGTGTACGAGAGTTACACTACAGAGCCTAGTGTGGAGTGCGCGGTGGAGGGGCCGTGTCTGACCGGCGCGTCTTGCCTCACACTGCCTCGCCTCAGCTGTCAGGATGTGCAGGACGCCATCAAACATTTAAAATCAAAATGCACTACTGGTCCAGATTTACTCCCACAATATTTATTTAAAGGTTGTTCTGAATTTTTAGTTGGGCCTTTAGAATTTTTATACAATTTAAGCTTGAAAACTAATATATTTCCCGAAAGATGGAAAACAACCAAAGTAACTCCAATTTTTAAGAGTGGAAAAAAATCCAAAGTCTTAAATTATAGACCGGTAGCAGTGTTATCTGTACCGGCGAAGATATTTGAGATTATTATTCACAAATATTTATTCAGACATTTTCAAAAATACATTTCAAATGACCAGCATGGGTTTGTCCCAGGAAGATCAGTTAACACAAATTTATTAAATTTTACTAGTTACGTTTCCTCTGGTCTGGATTCTGGGGCTCAGACAGACACGTTATTTCTTGATCTGGCCAAAGCGTTTGATAAGGTTGACCATTCAATTTTGTTGCAGAAACTGCATTGGTATGGCATGTCAAATGATTTATTGCATTTTTTCAAATCTTACATTGTTAATAGGAAACAATTTGTTTTCTATCATGGATTTTCCTCTGCTGTATTCAATGTCCAATCTGGGGTTCCCCAGGGTTCGAATCTAGGGCCTTGTCTTTTTACAATACTAATTAATGATCTAAGTGACTGTATTTTAAATTCAAATTCACTTCTATTTGCCGATGATTTAAAAATGTTTAAGCATATCAATAGTCTTGATGATGCAAATAGCTTACAAGAAGATCTTGACAATGTTTATAGGTGGAGTGTTTCAAACAAAATGACTTTTAATGTTTCTAAATGTCAACTAATGACTTTTACTAGGACTACAAATTTTTTACGAAATAACTATTTTTTAAATGGCATTTTAATTAGTAGAGTAAACAAAATTAAAGATTTAGGTGTTCACATGAATTCTGCACTATCTTTTAATTTTCATATTGAAACATGCATTGCTGCTGCAAGTAAAATGTTGGGGTTTATAATTAGACAAAGTACAAATTTTAGAAACATTGAAACATTAATTATGCTTTATCATTCGCTGGTCAGATCAAGATTAGAAACCTGTTCCATAATTTGGAATCCATATCATTTACAGTTTAAAGATGCTTTAGAGAAAGTCCAGAAAAAGTTTTTAAGATTCTTATTTTACAAATGTTTTAATATTTATACGTACGATGTTCCATACCATGATTTATTACAACTGTTTGGGCT